CATGCAAAGTAAAAGAGCAAGTCATAGGTATTCGTCTACTCTACTTGTTCCATGTGATAGACGACGTTTGGTCTGTTGTTCTTGGTTCATTCCATTCAGAATGCCGAATGAATTGAGTATTTATGTTTGGTTGAACTTCACCATAGTTGCGGAAGTCGTTGAGACGGGCAATGTCCCTGCATTTCCCTGGACAGCCAGTAGCCGCTCAACCTGCGAAGCCGTCAGTCAGTATGACTCCCGGCCGCGTTCAGTTTTGCCTAGCGTCGAGTACCATTTATAAGAAACCGACGAACGACAACAATAAGTCAAACCTGTCCTGAATTCCTCCCCGGATGGTTTACAAAATCTTCCCCGAGGTTGCTTTAGCTGCCTTTCAGGGTTCAATAATCATAATAAACCACAGTGAAAACTCTTTCAGTCGTTAAGTGCACTAAGGATCAGAGTATTTTGGAAAAATTCCCCACCTAGTCCATCGAATGCTTCCCTTTGGCCTATTCCAAACACCACACGGAATAAAGATGTGCTTCTAACTGCGTTTTAGCAGTATTAACATTAAAAAAGATTGTCTCAGTGTAATATACAACTCAGTTTTGATAATCTCTTCACTTCTTTCAAGTTTACTCCGCCAGGTAAATTCTTAAATCATCCTAACCAGGACAGTTAAAACTCAGCTTCGATTTTTCTCTGTTAAATGATCCTCTCATTTTCGCGGAAAACACCGCCACGAGAAGGTAGTGAGTAGGGCTTCCTCAGCAGAGGCTATTAGAGACGCTTGGTCGTATAGGAGCATTTCGCAAGGTGCAAGTGAAGAGTGACCAGCCGCAACCCTAGACACCTATCATCGATCATACTGAGGCTTTTGGAGGCAGCTTCAATCCATAGATGATCATGAATTGAGTACACTCCTCAACCATGAACATGATGCCACTATCATGCAGATATCGTGTTCAAGACGTATACTATATCACATCGTGTTTTAATCCTGTCTGTTTTGATTCCCTTGTTTGAGTCTCAGAACACAATGAAAACATCTGTTACACAAACTATCCTTCAATGGCTCACTAAGTTTTAGTTTCCTCAGGCCGTTCATATCATAGTTATCAATATGTTTCTCAAATAAAACTGAGGTTCCTAGATAAGTGAACGTCACTACAATTCTCCACAGTGTCATCATCCTGCACGTGCTTTACTGCTCACTGCCACCTGGTACTTCGAGNGTGTCATCTCACTCGCTCGAGAATCTGTTTGTCTGCGATCAATCGATCGTCCATAAGGTCACACGTTACTGGTTATTGTCTAAACGCTATCATTGCGTGCCTCTTCCTTACACTATGCTGATCCAGAGGCCTGTGTGAGCTTGTGTGTTTTGTGCACACGTCTTGTCTGATCGAGCGCGAGGTATGCATGAAGCCTACCTGAAACAGGTTTGCCTCACCTGCGCGTGTATTCATTCGTTTGTGCTGTGCTCATTTATGTCTTACTGAGAGTACAGACTTCGTTTTGATGTACGAATTGTAGGATGAACTAATGGAAAATGAGTTTGTTTCGTTGAACAAGAAAATTATTTGCCCAAGCAACATCATTCCGGGGAGCTTCGTGTGATGTGCTCCCCTTAATCAATGTTAGGGGAACAGTTTATTTATTCATTCATCCTCTTCAGGGCAGTACTGATGCTTGCGCTTTTTAAGTCACTGTCGCTTGCATTCTTTGGGTTCCAAAGTCCGAGGTCCTAAACCTATCATCACCATACAATTTCAGTAGTGTGGTTGTCATCCGGCTCAATATCATACCCACCCTAAGGTGGTCCTATGTATTTCGTTACTTTAGTATGAGATTTCTGGTTATCATGCGTGAACATCACATAAAGTTGTATAATTAAAATTCCGATGAGTCATGTGCTTGTGCATTCATCAACCAAGCAATAATTATGATACGGTCTTGATTA